AAAAAAAAAAAAAAAAAGAAAGCACAAGATTTCACAAAAAAAAAAAAAGAAGAAGATAGGACAGGAGAGAGAGAAATAAAGGAGTCAGACACATTTTGTGGCAGCATGTGCACCTCAGCCCCTCTTAATGGTCCATGTGGAGGTGGGAGAAAAGAGAGTGGGAGAGGGAGCATCTTAAGTGTCTTGGGATATTTATAGGTCGCCATAAGCCATGCATATTCAGTAGTTACATACATCACAAGGTGGGTGGTAACTACGTTTATGTCCCTAAGCTCAGGTGAGGAAACCTAATACCTGCACTGGGGGAAGGCATGAGGGGGGCTGGGTGCCTTGGCCGGAGGAGATAACCATTTCCATCAGGAGACAGAATCAACTATGTGCTCACTTTAAGGCAGCGTAGCTGTTAGGGGAGAATCTAAGGAATGATATTTAAAGCAGGATCATGCACTTGGACTTTATCTCTAACTTACCAAAGTGGTGTCTTTCCTACCGTGGAATATTAGCTTTCCAGATTCCCTCTGTGATAAGTTAGGGAATATAGTCCTCGTCATATTTCCCTCAGTGTTAGAATCCTACACAAGACACCCACACACAGTGCACACATGTTGCACACACGTGTCCACAAGCCCTGGGTCTTTGGCCTGCTGCTGGTCTGCTTATAGCTGTGACCTGGGCCCTCGGGCCAGGAGCTGGGCACACAGGCACAGGTCCACCTGTTCCCAGCTTGAGGGCCTCCTGGAGTCGGGCGGGGTCTCAACTGAGCTCTGAGGTCTCTCCCTGGGCGCCAGGCCGATGGCAGAGGGTAAGGGCCCGATCCTCAAGAAGCCAGAAGACAGGGTAGAGGGGCTTTGTGAAGACGGCATGGAAGGTGTGCAGCCGCTGGGCCTGGGGCTCCAGGCTGTAGAAGGTGAGGCAGCCCAAGGTCAGGTCCAAATCCACGCCCAGGAGCCGCCCGGACACAGGCGGCAGGCGCTGGGCCTTCCCGTTGTGCCAGGCCTGGGAGCTGTCCTCCTGAATGCACAGGCCCCAGGAGCAGGGCCCCCGGCCAATGTTGGTGGTGTGCCCGCCCTGCCCGCTCCGCTCCAGCTCCGGGTAGGCGACACCCAGCATCACGGAGTGGCTGGAGGCTCGCACCTCCCAGTAATGCCGCCCTGTTTCGAAGCTCTGGGCACACTGCACCTGCCACAGGTCGAAGCTGCGCGGGCCACCTGGGCCCCGTGGTTTGCGGCGGTGCTTCACCTGCCGGTTCTGCCGGGACAGGTGGAAGTGGCGGTTGGCGCTGTCCGGGTCGAAGGTCAAGTTGTGGTAATCTGCAGAAGAGATGGGTGGAGGAGAGGGCGGGCAGTGGGGGATAGACATACTGAGCACCAGATGCTGTGGACCTCTGACCCCAAACTGCAACCTTTTGGGCAGAACCTCCTCCAGTCATGGAGCCAGACAGTCGCACTCACGCATCCATACATGCACATGCAGCACACACGTATGTACGTGCTGTGCGTGTAAACATGTGCTCACGATACATTGCACACACGTGAAGATTCACGCTTACTCCTTTTACAAATGCACAGATGTATCCACGTGTGTGAGTACACACAGCAGCGTGCATGCAAAGACATGCGCATGTCGCAGTGTGCTCCTTGCATGCAGCGTGTACATGCAGGCTCACAAGGCACTCACACCGTGCTCACATGTTGCACACACACATGTTCACATGCCGGGCCTTACTCTGCCAGAGTTCTCTCCTCAGTGGACACGCCGGGCTCGAAATGGATGCCAGGGGACCTGGGGCCTCTAGGGGACAAAGCAGCGTTAGGAGACAGCTGGGAAGGGGTGGCCACAGGACCAGCGGGCTCTGGAGGAGTCCCAGGTTGCTTACCCACAGGCCCCATGTCGAGCACCTCAGGGGGCTCCTCTTCCAGCAGGAGGCTCCCCAGCTGGCTCAGAGTCTCCTTCAGGTCCCCCAGCTGCTGGTCTTCATCCCACTGCAGAGGGGGCAGCGGCCCGAGGGGCTCTGGGGGCACCAGGAGCAGGGATTGCTGCGGCGCAGGACAGCTGCAGTCAGCCTGGGAGCCGGGAAAGGAAGCTGCTCCCCCCGCTGTCACTCCGAGGCACTACCTGGAGGAAGACGCAGTCATCTTGCTGCGCCAGGAGGTTCTGCATCCTGCCCTCGTGGGCCGCTAGGGCCTCCAGGTGGCTGCGAAGCTGCTGCTCCCCGTCCCGGGCCTTGGTCAGCTCGTGGGCCTTGGCTGCCTCCAGGTCCCTCAGCACGGAGGCCCTCCGTAGCTCCAAGGCTTGCAGGAGGCAGCTGAATTTGCCAGAGACCACGGAGGCCAGGCCACAGGCTGAGCCCTGGGGGGAAGGGGGGGAGAGAGCTGGTTGGCAGGGCTAAGGCTGCCTGTAGGCTGAGGGCTGGGAGGTGGGCAGCCCGGCCCCTGGATCCCCTTCCCTGGCTGACCTGCTGCTCGGCCCTCACTCCTTCTTTCTAGGGGCCATTTCCAAGTGGCCCACCCTGCCAGGGGCCACTGCCCAGCACGAGGTGACCACAGACAAGCCCTGTACCTGGATCTGGCTGCTTTGCTGCTGCAGCTCCCGGAGCTGGGTCTGGGCCTGGGCGGCCCGCTGGGCGGTCACCTCCAGCATGGTTCTCAGCTGGGCCTGCGGGGACCCATCCGTGGGGCGAGCGAAGAGACAGGACCAGGATTGGGGCACAGCAGCCCTCAGCCAGTCAGCACCCATAGACCCAGGGCCCCTCCTCATGCTAACGAGCCTGAGGCTGAAGATCCACCTCTACCCCGCCCACCCAGCGACCTGAGGCAGGACCTCTGCGCAGGTGAAGGGCACCCCACTGGGCCAGCTCTGATGTCCTCCTCTTCCTTAATCTCATCAACCACTCTGTCTTCCTGTAATCCTGCATCACACCATCCTCCCGCTGGCTCTGCTGGCTGCCCAGGCCTAGGTGGTACCTCCTTCCTCTCCCCTCCTAGGCGACCACCCCCCTCCCCTTACTAGGACTTTTATGTAGACCAGTGTCTCAACCCCACCAACTGCTGGAGACCCTGAGGGTTTCAGCTCCGTGAAGACCGCCCCAGAGTCTCTATGGAGCTGTTCCGCTCAGCCCCAGAGGCTCACTAAGTCAGAGGCTCACTAAGTCAGAACGGACAGCAGTGGCGCTTTTCAGGTTTGAACGACGGAGCCCTGATGGTGCAATGGCTAAAGGGCTCGGCTGTTAGCCAAGAGGTCAGTGGTTTGAACCCACCGGCCGCTCTGTTGGAGAAAGAAGAGCCTTTCTGCTGCTATAAAGCCTGGAAACAGATGAGATCTAACCGCCCCTTTCCAGAAGAAAAAAAAATTACTCGGTGTCCCTCTCCTCTGCCCCACAATGAATATGTGACAAATTTTTTATATTCCAGCCCACAATTCAGAGTGAAATCCAGAGCCCACCCCCCTTCATACTGCGTCCCCCAGGGGTGCTTTCACCCCTCTGGGAAACTGCTATGAAAGAGCCCCGGTGGCTTAGTGGGGTATGCTTTGGACAGCTGCCCTCAAGGCCGGCCGTTTTAAAACCACCAGGGCGTCGGCTTTGTTCCTTAGGCGAACGGGGAAGCTTTTCCCTTTCTTAATAAATTAGTCTCTGAAACCCACAGGGGCACTTGTACCCCGTCACCAGGAGTCAGCATGGGCTCAGAGGCAGTGGGCTGAGGTTTATGAACCATAATCAACTTGATGGCAGGGGTTCTGGGTGGTTTTCAATCCCACGGGGGCGAGTGTGGTTTTGTAGGCTACATCCTCGGTGCTTCTGCCCCAGCTCCGTCCTCCTCTGGGCGTGGAACTCTGAAGAAGCCTGGGACCCTTTATTTGTCCCCAGGGGCCTCCACCTTCAATTCGTCCCAAACCAAATTCTGCATTCCACTTGCACTTCTTCAACACAGCCCTGAACTCAGCCCACCCCACGCTGCCCCCCATGCCTGGCCCGCCTTGTTGGCAACATCTTCAGGAAACATCGTGACGCCCACTGTTGTTTCAGCTCGACCTGGTCACCCTGGTGCTGCCAGCCTGTCTCCTCGTTCCTGTCACAGGCTCCAGCCTGACCTCACCCCCGCCCCTGCGGTCCCTGCTCCAGACCGCGCCTTAGCGCCTGTTCAGCCTGAATCTGACCACCTCACTGCCTTGCCCACACCCAAAGTGACTCCCTACTGCCCTCAGAGCAGGAGGTCCCCCTGCAGCCACCCGGGGCCCTGAGGATCTGGCTCCTGCTGACCCTGAGGGCCTCTGCTGGTCCTCCCCACCCACCGCACCCACCTCCACTCCCCGTTGACCTGCCCTGTTGACCCACTGACCCAGGCTGGAGCCTTGACCTCAAACGCTTCTTCCAGGCCCGTTCTCACCCCCCCAACACTTCCCGCGGCGCCTGTCTTTACAGGGGCTTGTCTGGCCCTTTAGATGGGACCTGTGAACCTATGGCAGGCATAGTTAGCAGGGGGTGTCCCCTGCACAAAGTGGGTGGCGGAAGGGCCCGGGGTCTTCAGACAGACGTGCCCCCACCCCACCCCCCGGGCGGGCAGGTTCGCCCGAATCTGCACCCTCCACTCTCCCTGCTAACTCTTCGTGCTGGGGAGGCCCTGCCCCAGCACCTGGCCGCGGAGGCGTCAGTCACCTCGCGCTCGCGCCGCGCGTCCTCCAGCAGCGTCCGCTCGTGGAGGCGGCACTCGAGCACGGTGCACGCGCTGCACGCGCAGCGGCCCTCGGTGCGGCAGAAGAGCTCCAGCGGCCGGCCGTGGC